CCCCTTGAATAGAAATAAAATGTCCTAGATATTCAACCCTGGAGACACCAAAGTAACATTTAGATTTCTTAGCATACAAGAATTGCTCTCTCATGGTTTGTAAAACCTGATGGAGATGTAGCAAATGTTCTTCCAAACTCTTGTTGTAGATAAGAATATCATCAAAAAAGACAAGAAGGAATTTCCTTAAGTAAGCCTGAAAAACATCATTCATTAATCCCTGAAATGTAGTTGGGGCATTGGTCAACCCAAAGGGCATGACCAAGTACTCAAAATGCCCTGCATGTGTCTTAAAAGCAGTTTTGTGTATGTTAGCAGCATTCATTCTTACTTGGTTATACCCCGACCTGAGATCTATTTTAGAAAAAATTACTGAACCATGCAACTCATCAAGTAAATCCTCTACTAAGGGAATTGGAAACTTATCCTTAACAGAATGCTTGTTGAGATCTCTATAGTCTACACAAAGTCTCCAAGAGCCATCCTTCTTACCCACCAAAACCACAGGACTAGCATATGGACTATTGCTGTGCTGAATGATTCCAGACCTGAGTGACTCCTGAACCAACCTATCAATCTCATCCTTCTGCTGCTTACTGTACCACTAAGGTCTCTTCAAAACAGGATTAGCTCCCTGAATCAATGGAATGTAATGATCATGACCCAGTCTTGTCGGAGGCAGGCCCGGTCTTGTCGGAGGCAGGCCTGAGGGTTCGTGGAAGACATCCTCATAGTCTCTTAACACCTCTTCCAGAGCAGAAGAAGGTTCAGACACAACAGCATGAGTGGTCAATGAGTGTAGTAACCCCGTATGTTGATCACAAAGTTGTAACATAGAAAAATGGACTCCAGTGCCCAATGCCTTAGTCAATTGCTTCTTCCTAACAGTTTTCACATTAGTAGTGACACCCCTTAAAACATGTTTCTTCCCATGAACATAGAACTGCATTGATAACTTGTCAAAATTCCAAGTAATATCCCCTAATGTTACCAACCACTCTATCCCCAACACCAAATCACAACAGCCAAGAGGAAGGAGCATAACATCTGAAGTAAATGGAGTCTGCTGAATTGTCCATGTGAAATCTTTGATCATAGAAGAAACTGCAACCTTAGTTCCATCAGCAACAATTAATGACCCAATTTCTTAGCGACCTCCACATCTAGAAAATTATGTGTGCTCCCACTGTCAATGAGCACATGCAATGGTTTCTTCAAGAAATAACCGGTGATCCTCATCGTTCGAAAGCTAGGCAAACCTGACATTGCATTTACAGAAATTAATGGCCCAACAGGGTCCTGATCATCCCGGTCTTCATCAAGTGACAACTCAGGTATACTGTCACTTGAATCCTCCAATTCCATGACATGGATTTGCAGCTTCTTGTGGGTTTGGCCATGTTCTGGTGTGAATGGTTCATCACAGAAATAGCAGAGGCCTTTAGCATGCCTCTCACTCATATAAGCAGGTGTGAAGTTTCTGGTTGTTGGTACGTTTGGTTTGTGTGTGTTTAAGGGTTTGGGAGGGTTAGGTAACAATGGTGGTTTGCCTGAAAAGGTAGGCTTAAAGGGTTTAGGTAAGAAGTTCTTATGGGAATCAGAAGTGGCTCCAGATTCATATAATTTGGACAGAAACAGGTTGGAACATCCTCACCATCATTTGGATTTCTTGCTTAAGGCCACCAAGAAAGCAACTCAATTGATGTTTACTAGACAGGTTCAACCGAGCAACAATGGCATCGAATTCCTCATGGTATGCAGCCACGAACCCCTTCTGTCTCAACTTCATTAATTCTGCCATAGGATCATCACACCCCTTAAACCTCTCAATCAAGATTTTGGTGTAACTGTCCCAAGAAGGCAATTGACTCAAACCTACATTCTTGACATAAGCACTATTCATCCCTCAAAATGCACCACAGCTAGTCGCACTTTGTATTCATCAGGTGTATTATCAACCGAAAAAAAAGTTTCACATTGCATGATCCATTGCTTAACTGCATCACCATTGAATCTAGGGAAATCAAGTCGAGCTAAACGAGTATTACAAGAGTAAGAAGGACAGTCACCGCAATTAAAAATCCCTGCACCCGCGGACTGATTTCTTCCCCCAAACACCTGAGTCCGTAATTCTTGAAATTGTTCGTTGATTTGCTGTGTGAAAGAAGTTCTCAAAGATTGCGTCAATGAATCATGAAGAGATTGCTGAAGTGAACCCGCAATTTCGATGAATTTCTCGTCAATCTTCAATCCAAGACGCTCCTCCATCTCGCGCTCCGCAATGCGATTCCTTGTTGATTCTGCCATGTCGAATCCGTGGAAAGTACAGGCTGATACTAGTTGATACAGTAGTTCTAGGTATGAAAAACAACGAAGAACTAGAACAATAGGGATTCTAAGAAGAAGAATAGAATCCGAACAATTTTTATTGAGATTCAGGAAGATATGTTGCTTACAAAAGAATGGAATGTATTGAATTCTGTTACACTGCTACTTATAGCAGAGCCTAGTAACTAACTACTAAAACCATAATAGAAACTAATTTTTATTTAAGTTCTCACACTAATTGAATTATTACAACAAGCCCTCAAGCAGTCTATATTTGGTGAAAAATGACAAGAGCAATCTAGGGACTGCAATATTCAAATTGACAAGAGCAATCTAGGGACTGCAATATTCAATTTAGGTCCTCTTTAGGTTCTTTTAAGTGTGTTGTTTAATGTAATATTCAAATTGACGTTATAAAATAGAGTATTAAGCAGGAATTGTGAGCAATATTATGTAACAATGATTGAATATAAAGGTTTTGCATAAAGCATGCAAAACAAGCACTGAATAGCAGAAACAGTGGAAATAACAAACAAAGGAAACTGCAATTAAAATACATAAACGTAAATGTGCAGGTAAATAAACGTACGAATCCTCACAACAGTGAACAACGGCTGTAGTGTCCTAAATTACTAAAACATTGATACCAACTATATAACATGATAGTTTACAAAAGACCAAAATCTGGTAACATTTTTTTTTGGTACGAGTGTACATGCAATAAGCTTAATTCCTTTTCTATGAAAATACCTCAAATATATTAAACATAAGTTACGGAAACGTCAAGTACTTAATGAAACAGAACGATCAACATAATTCAAATACAACAAAACATAATATAACATAAATAGATCAACTCCCTAAGAGCAGTTCCCCTAATACATACATACATAAATAAATAAACAGACATCAATCCTCAATGGGATCAGACTCCTCAGAAGATGCCGAGGAATCAGAGCTAAAGGAAGTAGCCGCGCCATGACCTCGACCATTCTCCTCCATCATTCCAACTGTGCGAGGACGTGAACGAGTACCAGTAGGTGGGATCAAAGTAGATGGGTATGCAGGGTGCATATAAGATGGCATGGTAGTGTACCACATGGACATCCCTCTTCATTAGCATGGGTGGGGAAGTAGGAGTCATAAAAGGAAATGGCACTGGCACAGGCACAGGCGCAGGGGCTGGTCTAGCAGTAGGAGTACGGGGGTCAATCGACATAGGTGTCGGGGAAGCAAACAAAGCAGCATAAGGTAACTGAGTGTCACCAGGAGGGACAGAAAAGACAATCTCAATAGGGGTGTCAGCAGCACAGTGATATCATAGATAGAAGTAGAATAATAGCACATCATTTATGTGTAGTGGAGTTCACATCAGGTTTGGCTAAGGTCTTGCAAGCGGGTCACGACCTGGCTACAGGGAGCTCAGCTGCCATATGCCACTTAGGTCGGATGTTAAGGTTCTAATTCTTAATGCAACATGAAATTGAACTTCACCTAAGGGATTAGGGTGGTTTAGTTGCTTGTTAGGGTCAATGAGTTAAGGGACTAACCTTTGGCTATTAATATTGACATTCTTGTGAAGCAAATTCCTAACTATTCTTCATTCCTATCTCATTTCATTACACATCTTATACTCTGTTTTTCTGCAAGTTCTTTACTTTTAATTGCTTTGGTTTACTGCTGTTACATGTTACAATTATCCTTCAAATTTCGTATGGCTCAAATGGTTATAATTCTGTAAATTGATACTTGAAATCTAAATTCCCTATGGAGACGATATCTTGTTCTTAAAAATTACTCATTACTTGCTGTAATCCTAGTGCACTTGCTAGTGTTTAGATTGTAAGCAACAAGTTTTTGACGCCGTTGCTGGAGAATTTTATATTTCAATATCATTAGTAACAGAAAAATTGCTAGATTGAGTTCTTGATTTCTGAATTTTTTCTTTTCAATTTCTAGATTGAGTTTAGAGTGATAGATTGCATAGAAGTACTCTGTTTTGCCTGTACTTAGATAAGTATAGAAAATTAGTAGGTAAATTTCTGTATGATTTTGCACTTCTGCATAATTCTGCAGTTGCAAATTTTGATATGATTTTGCTGTTATTTTTCTGCATCAGCTTTGTTAGTGTATATCTGACTATTTGGTTGTATATGCGAGGGAAAAACAAAAATAAAGCTACTTTGGTATTTGATCCAGACATTGACCAAACTCTAAGAAGGTTGAGAAGTGAAGCAAGAATTAAATAGATTCAAAGAGAGGAAAACCTCAACCTAATCAGACTCCAAGACAAATAAATATGGGAGAACAACCAAGACTGAGAATATTAGGGAATTATGCAGTTCTTAATCTCCAAGGATTCAACTCTTCTATTCTGAGACCTACAATTCAGGCCAACCACTTTGAGATAAAACTTGCACTTCTAAATCTGGTACAGCAAGACCAATTTGCTAGACACCATTCAGATGATGCAAATCTGCACATCTCTAATTTCTTACAACTTTGTGACACAATCAGAATCAATGGGGTAAGTGAGGATGCAATCAGACTTAGATTCATTGAGGGATAAAGCCAAGTGTTGGCTTCAAGCCCAGCCACAAGGGAGTATATCAACCTGGGCTGACCTGGTGAACAAGTTCCTAATCAAATATTTTCCTCCTTCAAAAGCTGCAAAAATCAGAGGGGAGATTACATCTTTTGCTCAGCAAGAAGGAGAGCCATTGTGTGAAGCATGGGAAAGATACAAGGAGTTATTAAGGAAATGTCGTCATCACTGCATACCTGAGTGGATGCAACTTGAAACATTCTATAATGGAATGACTGCTGCAACTAAAACCATGATAGATGCAGCAGCTGATGGTTCATTGAGTTCAAAAACTTTAGAAGAAGCCCAACAAATCATAGAAATGATGGCATCCTCGATGTATCAAAATATGAATGAAAGACAAGCTATAAGGAGAGGAGGATATGATGTAAAATCCATAGAAGCCATGTTTGCTCAAAATCAACTTCAGAATCAACAATTTTCTGAACAGCTTGCTGCCCTGACTCAACAAATAAGTAACATGCAGACTGGTGTGGTCCAAAATTCAAAATTGAATTGTGATTTCTGTGGTGGCAACCATGTGAATGGAGCTTGTGATCCCACAGTTATAGAACAACCTGATAAAGTTAATTATATGGGCAACTATCAAAGGCCACAACAACCATATCCAATAACCATATCCACCTGGTTTCCAGCTTAATAACAATAGTTTTCCAAGTGGAATCCACAGAATTCTAATGCAAGAGGAAATACAGCTACTGCACCTTTCCAAAGTGCAGCTCCTCAAGTCCGGCAACAATATTTTCAAGGAAGTTCTTCTACACAATTTCAGAAAAATCAAAGGTATTCAAATTCAAGACCCTTGAGTGAGAAAGTGAATGGAATTGAAGAAACATTACTGCAGTTCATGAAGGTGACAAAAATGAATTTTAAAAATCAAGAAAGTTCTATAAAGAAGCTAGAAACACAAATTGGGCAGTTGGCTGAGCAACTGGCCAATAGAGATGAAGGAAGGTTTCCTAGCAGCACAATAGTGAAGCCAAAGGAACAATGCCAAGCAATAACCACTCGAAGTGGAGCAGTGGTTTCCAGCCCAAGAAAGAAAAATGAAGTCACCAATCCGAAGGATGAAAGTGAGCTGAAGCAAGAAGATTTCAAAAGTGGAAAATATACTATGTTAAAGACAGGAGATGATGACGAAAACTGCAGTATCAAGCAAGAAAAGAAGGGCAAGAAGTAGAAATTTGAGCAAGCCTGCAAGCCTATTACTGAAGAGCAGTACAAGAGATTACCCTTTCCAAAAAGAGTACAACATCCTAGACAAGAAAAGCAGTTTGAAAGGTTCATTGATGTGTTCAAGAAACTCCAAATTAATATACCATTTGCAGAGGCATTAGAACAAATGCCCTCTTATGCAAAGTTTATGAAAGAACTCTTGTCTAAAAAGAGGAAGCTGGATATGGAAAAATTGGCACCACTAACTGAAGAGTGTAGTGCCATATTGCAGAAAAAACTACCTCAAAAGTTGAAAGATCCAGGGTCATTCAGCACACCTTGCTCCATTGGAAATTGTACAGTTGGAAAAGCTTTGTGTGACTTGGGAGCCTGCATAAATTTGATGCCTTTAGCCATTATGAAGAAGCTGGGAATTGAGGAGGTGAAGCCAACTGGGATTACATTACAATTGGCTGATAGATCATATACATATCCTTATGGAGTAGTTGAAGATCTTTTAGTCAAAGTGGACAAATTTATATTCCCTGCAGACTTTGTTATACTAGATATATATGGAGGTAGATGCTGATATCCCTCTCATTCTAGGAAGGGCTTTGATAGATGTGCAAAAAGGTGAATTGATGCTAAGAGTACAAGTGATGATATGAGCTGCATGAAGATTGATGCAATAGATGTTGTGATACCACTTTCTTTGGAAAAAAAATGATGAAAGTGTAGTCTTGGAAAGCATATTAGCTGCAGCGAAATGTAGTATTTAGGAAGAGCAAGATGAGAAAGTAAAAGAATGCATTCTGTAGTTAGATTCCCTTCCCTGTATGAACAATGAAATAAATCAACTCAAGGAAGAAGAAGAAAAAAAAAGAAGAATCCAAAGTGGAGCTTAAGCAATTACCCTCTCATTTGAGGTATGTGTTTCTTGAAAAAGGCCATAACAAACCTGTAATAATAAACAACAATCTGCAGAAAGACCAAGAAGAAAAACTCTTGAGAGTGTTAAGAAAGCACAAATTTGCACTAGGATGGCAGATTTCAGATATGAAAGGTATAGATCCATCTTTCTGTATGCACAAAATTTTATTTGAGGACTCAACCCAAGTCTGAAGAGTGTAGTACCATATTGCAGAAAAAATTTTATTTGAGAATTGCAAGCCTGTTATCCAACCTCAAAGAAGACTCAACCTAACTATGAAAGAGGTAGTGAGGCAACAAGTGATTAAACTACTTGATGCAAGAGTTATTTATCCAATTTCAGATAGTTCATGGGTAAGTCCGGTTCATGTCCGGTTCATGTGGTGCCTAAGAAATGAGGTATAACTATTGTTCCAAATGAAAAAAATGAATTAATACCTACTAGGACAGTAACCGGATGGCGAATGTGTATAGATTATAGGAAGTTGAATGATCCATCAAGGAAAGATCATTTTCCTCTTCCATTTGCTGACCAAATGCTGGAGAGATTGGCTGGATTTGACTACTATTGTTTCCTAGATGGATATTCTGGTTACAACCAGATTGCAGTTGATCCAAGAGACCAAGAAAAGACAACATTCACTTGTCCTTTTGGAGTTTTTGCATATAGGAGGATGCCATTTGGGTTATGCAATGCTCCAGCCACTTTTCAAAGGTGTATGTTGTCCATTTTTTCTGATATGATTGAAAGAATTATAGATGACTTTTCTATATTTGGTAATTCTTTTGATAAGTGTCTAGCTAATCTATCTTTTGTTTTGCAGTGTTGCCAAGACTCAAACCTTGTACTTAATTGGGAAAAATGCCATTTTATGGTACAAGAAGGGATAGTCTTAGGAAGTGGATCCTGTAAAAGTTGAAGTAATTGAGAAGCTGCCTCCACCTGTAAATGTTAGAGGAGTAAGAAGTTTTTTGGGACATGCTGGATTCTATCGAAGGTTCATTAAAGACTTCTCTAAAATTGCAAAGCCATTGAGTGAGTTGCTGAGTAAGGATATAGAATTTGGTATTGATGATAAGTGCTTAGTAGCTTTTAACACTTTGAAAGAGAAATTAATTTCTACACCTGTACTTGTTAAACCAGATTGGGAATATCCTTTTTAACTGATGTGTGATGCTAGTGATGTAGCTATAGGAGCAGTTTTAAGCCAAAGAAAAGACAAGAAACTGCATGTTATTCATTATGCTAGTAGAGTTCTTAACCTTGCACAAATCAATTATACTCCTACTGAAAAAGAACTCTTAGCAATAGTTTTTGCATTTGATAAGTTTCGGTCTTACTTAATAAGGTTATAGTTTACACTGACCATGCTGCTGTTAAGTACCTTTTGTCAAAACAGGATGCAAAGCCCAGGTTATTAAGATGGATCCTTCTTCTTCAAGAATTCGAGTTATAAATCAAAGACACGAAAGGGAAAGAGAATGGTGTTGGTGACCACTTGTCAAGATTACCACTTGAAGCCATACCATTTGAAGTGAAACAAATAAAAGAAGAATTTCCAGATGAAAGCCTATTCAAGATTAAATCACAGCTCTGGTTTGCAGATATAGCCAACTTCAAAGCTACACATCATGTTCCAAATTGGATGAATTGGCAGCAGAGAAAGAAGTTCTTCTATGACAGCAAGTATTATGTTTGGGAAGATCCACTGCTGTTCAAAATTGGAATAGATGGACTGCTAAGAAGGTGTATACCAGAGGAAGAGCAACAGCCAAGGTCCTGCAATTTGGTCTTTTCTGGCCAACTTTGTTCAAAGATGCTAAGAACTATGTGGAAAGGTGTGATAGATGCCAAAGAATGGGGAATATATCTAGGAAACATGAGATGTCATTGCAAAACATACTTGAAGTAGAATTGTTTGACATGTGAGGAATAGACTTCATGGGTCCTTTCCCTAGTTCATTTTCAAATGAGTACATGCTAGTAGCAGTGGACTATGTGTCCAACTGGGTGGAAGCAATTCCTACCAGAACCAATGATGCTAAGACTGTTATTGCATTCATCAAAAAAATATTTTCTCAAGATTTGGAGTGCCCAGAATTCTGATAAGTGATGGAGGAAGCCATTTCTGCAACAAGTATCTAGAATCAGTCCTAGAGAAGTATGGAGTAAAGCATAGAATAGCTACACCCTATCACCCTCAAACAAATGGTCAAGTGGAGGTTTCCAACAGAGAAATAAAACAGATTTTGGAGAAAGTGGTTAGTAGTTCAAGGAAGGACTGGTCCAAGAAAGTGGATGATGCTTTGTGGGCATACAGGACAGCATTGAAGACAGCAATTGGCATGTCTCCTTATCAGTTAGTGTATGGAAAAGCCTGCCATTTACCAGTGGAACAAGAACATAAAGCCTTTTGCGCTGTAAAATGGTTGAATTTTGATCAAGTTAGTGCAGGAAACAAAAGACTGTTACAGCTGCATGAATTAGACGAGTTCAGACTCAATGCATATGAAAATGCCAAAATATACAAGGAAAGGACCAAAAAGCTGCATGACAGATTCATTCTAAAAAGGGATATCAAACCTGAGCAGTCTGTGTTACTTTTCAATTCAAGGTTGAGATTGTTTCCAGGGAAGTTAAAATCTAAGGGGTCTGGACCTTTTGTGGTGAAAGAGGTATTTCCATATGGTGCTGTACTAATAGCAGATCCAAAGGATGGGAGAGAGTTCAAGGTGAATGGACAAAGATTGAAAATCTACCTTGGAGGTCAAATTGAGAAAGCCCAAGTGTGCTTGAAATTGGTTCCTCTTGAGTGAGGAACAACTAATGTCAAGCTAGTGACATTAAAGAAGCGCTTTGTGAGAGGCAACTCACATTTCTAACCCATTTTAAACTTTCTGTAGTATTTTAGAATTCTGCATATGCATGTTTTGTAATTTTCTGCTTTTCTGCAATTTGATTCTGCTGCATATCTATGCTGAGGTGAAATTAGTACTTGAATTGAGATCCAATGTTTAGAATGTGTATCTACAAAATTAGAAATCTGTATAATCATGTTTTACCATTTTATCGAAGTTCTGCAAATATG